TTCAATTGGAGATAACTATACAATGAAGAATTTTCGTTAAAATATAAAAATGATTTTGAAAATTTTACCCATAAATGATGAAAGAACAACAAAGCCATTTCGATTTGACATGCGTCATTTGATAAAAGATTTGTTATTTTTCCCGAATTGACTTCATTCAATTGAAAACTTGATAAACGAAGAATTTTACGAAAAATCAATCCTTGATATGCAATTCTCATTTCCAACGATAATTTCAATAAATGATAATACGCCTAAAAATACAATTTCGTAAAACTTCTCTCGAAGAAAACCAAAAATCTCTTTGTTATTCACTTGATTAAAGATAAAACTCGAGAGAAAAGCAACAAGAATCATTGAAATTGCAAAAGTCCACGCTTTCCAAAGAGACATTTGTGAACATGGATGAAAATAATCCATTAGAAAGATTAATAACAATGGTTTGACCAATTTATTTCAAGTGTATCAATTAGATCTGATGAATGAAGATTTGATGGAATTTTCGATAAATCATTTAATTCAATTGTTCCTTTTGCACGGCGTTTTTTAAATAATACATCGATCCAGCTGAAATTCTTTTGGATAATCAAAATCTTCAAAACAAAAACAAAATTTTTCCTACCTGAAAAATATTTTTGAACAGTAATTTGCATTTTCATACAGATCGTCATTCATTTTTACGTGTAAATGATGACAAATGAAGAAATCTCTTATCTTTTATCTTCATTGATAAACATTTTCAAATCAAGCTTCTCAATGACAAGAGTTTTTCTTTTCAAACAAAACGAATTTTCACGGTGAAAAAAAATCAATGTATCACATGTAAAATATTTGTCCCAAAGCTCGATAACAGGATGAGAAGAAGAGAACCGGTGCGGTTGACCATCGAATGAATAATTTCTTTTTAAGAAATCACATTGTCCAACAACAATAACGCACTGAATGATGAAATATAGTGAGTGTCATGCACTAGTACTTTGTGGATCTCAAATACTCTTCACTCGTGTTGTTGACATCATGAAAAATATTTATATTCTATATCCTGCAGAAATTTTAGTAATATATTAATTTCTTTTCATAATATTGGTCGAATGATCTACGTATGCAAATGAAAATACAACATCTGTTTCAGGAAAAACCAACAACAAGGAAATTGATATTAATCATTACTTTTGTTTTTTTTCTGTATGAAAATAGATATCCGCGTCTATGCATTTATCATTTTAGTTATTCATTCATTTAGTAGATAATTAACTTGTCTATTTCCTATGTTTTTTAAAGCAGTGTTATAGTAAAACAGAAGATTTTTATGCATTGAATATATTGAAATACACAAATTCACATATAAATCAATTCGAACTATCAATTAAACGTTTGAGAACTCTTGTATATGTTGTTGTTATATTCATAATCCAACTCTAAGTCCTATCAGACAAAAATACTTGAGAGAAATGTAACGGAATATTGTTAGAAAACATAAATTTCACGCGACAATATGAAACTCATCATACTGCGTTCAATCTTTGTTTTGCAGTTGTGCATAGTCTATTTGAATTTAATGCGTTATCATGCGTTAGTCTACCAGAAAAAAAAGTTCTTTATCAGCTATTATTTTGTAACGACGCACTACTCCATTTATTTTAATGTATGTCCTTTTTTTCCAATGAACTTTCTCTTATTGTTCTATTATTTAGTAAAATAAATACTCAATCATAGTCTACCCTTTTTATTAATTTAGGGCATGATGACGTGATTACAATATCGCCATTTTATAATATTCTAAATTCTTGATTTCTCCCTTAAAACGAAATTTCAGTATTTACATATGTTTTAAAAATCTGTTGATTGGTTTGACTAGACAAAAGACTGATATTCATTTTAACTTAAAATTACTTTACATCTATAAACATTTACTGCGCAAATTTTTGAAAACTATTCCGTTTATTTAGTATTAATCATTGAGAATGAAGAGATTTTGAAAAAAACATGCCTAAATAATTTTCTCAACGTCATTAATTTGTTCTCTCAAATATTTAATCTTTACTTCTAAAAAGCATGACAAAATAATGTAAGTTAACGTTATCTTAATTAAACTCTATGTGTTAAACTATTTTTCTCGTATTGAAGTCATGGGATGTTTTTTTTTTGTTTTATTTATCGGATGCTGAATATTTATAAACTTTTCTGCCTACATGGAGTCAAGTTTGATAGTACTGTACAAAGACGTTAATTTCATTTTATAGATAGTATTTCCGATCGATCAATCATGATGATTTTTGTGAAAAGTCTGCTCAGTCTTACGATCATAAGTTTACATGTTAGTTCATATGAAATAAATCTTGAACTAACTGATTGGACAAATCTTGATGAAACTAATATGGACTTACAACATGACTGTCTTTATACTTCGATGTCGATTGAACCTGAAACAAAACCATATCATCTTGAACATCATAATATTTCACGGAATTTTCGTCAAATGATTTCATTATGCTTGAGTGAATGGCCATCGACATGGAAGATCCAGGAAAATACACAAGATCAAAAATTCAATTTTTCTCAGTTGGCCAAATTACACATAACCAGTCGACAACTATTTCATTGGTCAGCACCAATAGATCTTATTGGATCTTATCAATTCTACTTGAATCAAATCTCAACTTCAAATAGCACATCTTTATCGAAACAGATCTTTTATAACTGTACGTCGCCCAGATTTGGGCCACAATGTCAATATTCATTTGCATTGAGAACAACCGACAAACNTTTACAAACTTTTGTGCCTACATGTATAACTTGAATCCAACTTTCAAATTTGATACTACTGTACAAAGATTCTTTCATTTTAGAGAGTATTTCCGATCAATCAATCAATCATGATGATTTTTGTGAAAAATCTGCTCAGTTTTATGATCATAAGTTTACGTACTATAAGTTCATATGAAATAAATCTTGAACTAACTGATTGGACAAATATTGATGAAATTAATATGGATTTACAACATGACTGTCTTTATACTTCAATGTCGATTGAACCTGAAACAAAACCTTATCATCTTGAACATCATAATATTTCACGAAATTTTCGTCAAATGATTTCATTATGCTTAAGTGAATGGCCATTGATATGGAAGATCGAAGAAAATACACAAGATCAAAAATTCAATTTTTCTCAGTTGGCCGAATTAAATATAACCAGTCAACAACTATTTCATTGGTCAGCACCAATAGATCTTATTGAATCTTATCAATTCTACTTGAATCAAATCTCAACTTCAAATAGCACATCTTTATCGAAACAGATCTTTTATAACTGTACGTCGCCCAGATTTGGGCCACAATGTCAATATTCATTTGCATTGAGAACAACCGACAAACTTCCATCCGTGCATGAACTTATTCATAGATTTTATTTAGCTGTGCATTATCCAATCGAGCATTTACTATGTTATGATCATTTACAATGTTACTATGGTTCCGCGGTACTATGCCTTGATTGGAATCAAATTTGCGACGGTTTTGTTCAATGTACCGACGGAATTGATGAAAAAAATTGTTGGCAAATGGAAATAAACGAGTGTAAGGAAAACGAATATCGATGTCGAAATGGTCAATGTATACCCTTGATATTTTTTGATGATAATCCAGTTGCTGCCGAATGTTTAGATAGATCCGACACAAAAGAGATGTTAGATTGGAATGTTTTATTACGCGGAAATTTCGATTTTCAACGACCAATATTCCTGAAAGAAGAAGTACTTATTTTTGATGGTATTGGTGAATTTCATTCATTTTTTATAATGCGTAATCGTAGAGCTTTTTTCGTGAATTACATGCTGCCAGAACAAGAAAAAGTCATGTCAACGGACTGTTGGTCAGCACTTTATTGTTATCTTGGATTTGAATATGAAAATGTTGAAATCTGCGATAAGGTCTGTTTCAGTGAACATTGTAAAGAAATAATTAATGAAACTTGTCCGGATCTGTTTTACTTACCATCTGTACCAATTGCTTTGGGTCATATCTATTTAGCATATTCAAAACAATATATCGTTGAACAAAAGATATGGACAAATGCACCTGAATATATATGTTATAACGAACAATTATGTAGTGGTTTTAATCCCAAAGATCAAGTCATTCGTTTTAATAATAGTTTGTGTCGTCGTGTTCACGATGTTTTACCGTTTATTATATCAAATGAATATGCAATTCAAATGATATGGGATTATATGCTCAATGTGTCTATTTATCTTTCGAAATGTAATACAATTCTGCAAAATCATACAACAATTTGTGACCATGAAACGATGTATCAATGTTTGAATTCTTCGAAATGTATAACAAAAATTCGTATCTTTGATCAATTTCAAGATTGTGATTATGGAGATGATGAAGATATACAAAATAACAGTTTCGTTAGTGAAATTTGTTCCAAAGAACAATCTTCAACACATTTTCTATGTCCTAATACAAATAGATGTTTTTCTCGAAAATTAATTCGAGATTCCAAATGTGATTGTGGATATTCAGATGTCGAACATTTTCTATGTCCTGATGAAGATATTGACAAGAGATCTATTAGAGAAACAATATCATTTTCAACAATCTGCAATGGTTTTAATGATTTAAATCCTATACTAATTGATGGACAAAATTATACCGATGAAACTGAATGTGATCAATGGATATGTAATAATCCATACACTCGATGTAATGGCTATTGGGATTGTTATGATGGAGCTGATGAAATTGATTGTTATCAATTTCTATTGGATTTAAATTGTCCAAATCACAGTTTTTTATGTATGTCACCTTTTACACTTAAATTTATGTGTCTTTCGATGGAGAAAGGTAATGATGGGCATATTGATTGTCTTGGTGGAACTGATGAGCCACATGTATGTCGAAACAATACTCAAGTCTATGATAACGGATTTTATTGTAACGATTCAAAGACTCTTTCACCCAAATGTGTTCAACGTCATGAAATCTGTCATACTGATTTAAAATGTACCAATATGGAAATGTCGGAATTCTGTCAACTTAAATTTGAACATAAAATGTTCAGAAATGGTCTCTGTGATCGAGGCGATTTTGCAATTCTTACGAATTTTGATATGCAAATATGTTATCTGTTCAGATTTACTCCAAGATATGAAATCCATCCTTTTTCCCTTCTACCAATCAAATCAATATTTCGAGATGAAGAAAGAACACCAATATTTGTTGATACTCTTCTCAATGAATTTGATATAACACAAAAACATTGTTTTCTCGGTGTACCTTTAACGGTCACATTAGATTTAAATAAAAACATATTTATGACGACATGTTTATGTCCTCCAAATTATTATGGTACACAATGTCAATATCAAAATCAACGAGTTAGTTTTACAATGAAACTTCAAACATTTTCTGATTCTTGGCAAACACAATTTCTTCTTATTGTTTCTCTTATTGATGATAGTAATGAACGAACGATTCATTCATATGAACAAATAACGTATTTTCCAATCGAAAATTGTCAAACATCATTTGATATTTATTTACTTTATTCCACTCGACCAAAAAATGAATCAAAACAATATTCAATTCATATTGATATTTATGAAAAATTATCATTGAACTATCGAGGAAGTTTCTTAATTAATATTCCATTTCTATTTTTACCTGTACAACGTGTTGCCAGTTTATTAAATATTCCATATGAAAATTATGAAATGAAAAATTGTTTTCTAGATCAATGTTTACATGGCGAATGTATTCGATATTTTCAAGATAAAAATGAAAAAACATTTTGTAAATGTTTACCAGGTTGGACTGGTCGATTTTGTACAATTAAATACGAATGTAATTGTTCAATAGATTCATTATGTTATGATATATCAGCAAATAAACGTTCAATTTGTATTTGTCCAATTAATAAATGGGGTCCTCGATGTTTAATTCCTGATGATATATGTTATTTAAATAATCCATGTGAAAATAATGGTATTTGTATTCCTTATGATCAACATATTACACCTCGAAATAGATTTCAATGTATTTGTTCAAAAGAATTTTATGGAAAACGATGTGAATATTCATCATTTAAAATTATTTTATCGTTTTCAAATGATGTTCAAGTACCTGAAACAATGTTAATTCATTTTATTGAAGTCAAAAATCGAGAAGAACCAGAAAAAGGTATAACTTTCAAAAAAATTCCAATCAATCGTGATCCGATAACAATTTATTGGGCTAAAACTGTTCATATAAGTTTCATTGAATTATTTCTCAATGAATATTATTTAATTTTTCTCCAAGAGAATCACAATAAATCTCGTCTTATTACAAAACAAATCCAATCATCTGATTATTGTCCACATATTCGTAATCTATTTAATGAAACATTCGCTAAACTTCATCTTATTCGTCGTATTAAATCTTATCATTCAATATGTCGAAATCGTTCTCGCGAACTTTCGTGTTTTCATGATGAAATTTATATTTGTTTTTGTACAATTTTTAATAATGAATTTCAAGCAAATTGTTTAGAATTTAATCATACATTAAAACACGATTGTTTTGGTCGAAGTATATGTGAAAATGGTGGTCAATGTTTACAAGATAGTTCCATTTGTCCCCAAACATCGATGTGTATTTGTCCATCATGTTTTTATGGATCACGATGTGAATTTACTTCAAATGGACATAGTCTTTCACTTGATGCTATTCTTGGTTATCATATTCAACCATTTATTTCAATAACACAACAACCAATTATTGTACAAATTAGTCTTGTTTTAGTTGTAATTATAACTTTAACAGGAATTATCAATGGAATATTTTCTCTATTGACATTTATACAAAAAGATTTCAAAGAAACAGGTTGTGGAATATATCTTCTTGGTTCATCAATTACAACATTATTTAATACAAATATATTTTTTATTAAATTTCTCATACTTATCATAGCACAAATGACATATGTAACAAATATTTTCTTTTTACAAATTCAATGTCGAAGTATTGATTATTTAATACGAGTTGGTTTAAATTTAGATCAATGGTTAAATGCATTTGTGGCTCTTGAACGTGCAACAACAGTTGTTAAAGGTGTTCGATTTAATAAAAAACAAAGTGTTAAAACTGCTAAATATGTTATAATAATTCTTCTTATTCTAACTATTTCTTCAAATATTGTTGATCCAATAAATCGACATTTGGTCATGATTGATAATAATGATGAAAAACGAATTTTATGCGTTCTTGATTATTCATCAAATATTCAAAAATTTAATATAATAGTGAATATTTGTCATTTTTGTTTACCTTTTATTATTAATCTTGTATCAATATTAATTATTATTATTAATGGTGCTCGTTTAAAATCAACTTTACATACGAATCAATCCTACAAAAAACATTTACTTAAACGACTTCAACAACATAGTCATCTTTTGATTTCATCATTTTTATTATCTATTTTAGCTTTACCACGTTTAATTTTGATGTTTTCAGGAGGTTGTCTGCAAACAAATGCTGATTCTTGGTGGTTTCTTTGCGGATATTTTATTTCATTTTTTCCTTCCGTACTTAATTTTGCGATATTTGTTTTGCCATCAAAAGTCTATGTAAAACGCTTTCGTGTCACTATTGCTTCTTATCAAAAAATTGTCCAAAACAAAATCTATCCGCTTTAGTAATGTTGTGTATTTCTCAACTTCAGAATTCCACTTTATTTCTTCATTGGAAATTGTTTCTCTTATATTGCTGAGATATTTCGAGAATCGGTGGAATTACTTTCGCAATGCACAACATTATATACGAAATAAAATGAATACTTATCGAACGATATTTTTCTTTGATTTTGTCAAATAAATCTGAACAAAATAATGATTCTTTTCTAAAGATAAATGAGGATAAGTGTCAAGGACAATTGTACAGGATTGACAAAATAAACCAAACAAATCTTTTTACAAATACATTAGAACATTTGAAAACAATTCTCGATTGAAATCTTATTGATTAGTCAATTAAATGATGAATAATCAGTTAATGTCAAATTCATTTATATTTATCGAACACATCGACTGGAACACGATTTTCTCCTGAATTTTAAATAATAACAAAAATGTCCTAAAAGGCTTTTAAACGATGAAACTGATTCGGACGTGATTAACCTATTTTATAATTAAAGGAAAATGTCAAATTTCCTTGTTTTACCTGTGATCCATATAAGAGTAGAAGAAAAAAAACTATATTTTCATCATTTGGTTATTAAGTGCGGTTGAAGTAACAAATAATGTCATTGAAAACATCGGAAATTCCCACAATGTTTCCCAATGAACATGAAATGAAAGATTTATTAAAATATCTTTATGAAAAACAATCAATTTTAGAAGAATTTGGTGCAATAAAATTAATTCCACCTGATAATTTTGGAAATCTTTTGAAAAAAACTTCAATGAATTTTTGTTCATCTTCAACAATTCAACAAGTTCAACAAATTCGCAATTCCAATTCGATTTATTCAATAAAAACCAATCCAATCGAGAGAAATGATCAAATAATCCATGACAGTTGTCGAATAACTAATCAAATCTTCTGGTTATTATTACCAAATTCATCACATATTGAAGAGATTTCCAGTATTTCACATATTATTGGCAAAAGTTTATTTTTAAAACGTGTTCATCGAAGTCAATTTGATTTTCATCAATTACCATCTCAATCACTTTTAAAATTACTTGGAAAGAAAAATCTTCATGATTATTCATCAGATTTAATCAAAGCTCACGGACCCGCAGCGATCTTTCCATTATCATCAACAAAACAAAATCTTTGTCAATTTAATTATCTTCATCGAGGTTCAAAACGATTTTGGTATATTATTCCAACGAAACAAAGATTTGTCTTACAGAATTTAATGCAACAAATTCATCCAGAAATTTCTCTTGAATCGGATCAAATTCTAATTGATCCAATTCTGTTCAATGAACATGGAATCAAATATTATGAAGTGACTCAAAATGCGAATGAAATTTTAATTTTATCATCGGGAATTCTTTCACAAAGTTTTACTGAAGATGAAATTCTATGTGAATCGATTCATTTTGCTTTACCCAATTGGATTTCGAATTCTTTTACAAAACAATCGAATGATCTGAATGTGTTTAATCGAGAAAATATTGAAAAATATATTGAAAAACAGCTGAAAATTCATAAAGAACAAACGAAGATTGCAGAGGTAGAAGAATGGCCAACAAATCATATCGATGAGTAAGTTTCGATTTGCAATGAAAGAAAAGAAAAGCAAAGAAATGTTTAGAGAAGATTTCATCATGGATATATGTGATCAATCAATTGATTTAATGCGATTTGAAAATAAACTTTTGTCTTTGGAAGATTTTCATCTCACAAATCAATATGATTCATTTATGTATGAAGATATTTTGGATATTCTTTCTTCTCCATCTGCATTGAATACTCAATCAACCAATGAAAATCTTCTCGAATCATTGGTAAAGATTGTTTTTTCGAATTGCATCTTCAATTCGTTTTTTTCTTTCAGCAAATATCTAATCCAAATCGATTTGTCTTGAAAAGTCATCATAATTCTTACGAAATCGATGTGAAAAATATTTTACATTTATCCAATATAAATAAACAAATCAATAAAAATAATCTTCGATCATTTTTCATCGATTCGACAAAGATTATCTTAAAACAAAGTGAAATTCCTCCACATTTAAATTATGCATTTATCTTTCATCGAACAAATCATCAAGCTGAATTTAATCGACAAAGATTTCTCCTTAATCCATCGATTTTCGGAGCAAAGTCACAAATTAAATTTGCAAAAACTTTACCTGATGAAGATCAAGTCGATGAAATTTGGAATCTTGTTGTTCGACAAATTCCTGAAAATGTTTCCGAAATCGATTTAAAAAACTTATTTTTCAATTGTGAAAAGATTAAATTTATTCCTGGAAGATCAATTGAAAAATCTAAATCAAATTCAAAATTTCTACCTGGGTAAAGATTTCTCATATGAAATTTCTTTTCTTTTATTTCTTTTTCTTTAGATATGCCTTTTTAGCTTTTCAAAATTCTGATCAAGTCGATGAAATTCTACAAAATTCTCATAGATATCAAATCAATAATCAATCTTTGCACATTTCTTATTTTAACAAAACTAATTTCTGATTTCTTTTCTTCATAATTAATTTATCTGTATAGACTATTTTGATGTTTTATTTAAACGAACAGATTTTCACATAGAAGATTTTGTACCATGTGCGAAATTCAAGGATATTCCGTTTATACTCTGTTTATACGTATGTGTCAATAGATTTCGATCAATAAATATATGAAGCATGTCATTTTGTATCGATTTCGTTTCTTTCTATGATACTCTTTTAGAAAAGGAGAAAGAGTACGAAGAGAAATGAGACGAATGTAGTGTGTTGTCTGTCGAACTATTTATCGAAAAATTCATCTCGACCTTAAACTATATTTATTAAACAAGTTAATATATGTTGATCAAAATAGAAACAAAGTAGAAGCAGACTGTTGTAAACAATTAATCTATGTTGTTGTCATTATTTATTGAAATTTTATCGAATACGCAGATATATATGAAGTGAAATAAAAAATGAATTTTAATTCATTCTCGATATGTTTGTCTTCAAATATTTGTTTTCTTGGTTAAAATCGTTACAAATTTCGAGATATTTTAAAAGCGATTATCGAATAGTCGGGTGTAAAGAGTTGATTTCATCGCTTTTCCCTGCATAATCGTGTAAGATGTAGAGAAAAGAAAAAGAGAGAGAGAGAGAGAAGAGAAATAAAACTAAGAGATCGAAAGTAGTGTGAAGCATGTCTTTTTGTATTTTATACGGAGACCATCTGTTTCTTATTTTTCATTCATTGACTGGTCTTAATAAAATTTGACATAAAAACTGTTTTAATTTAATAGAAAGTTTAGCAACTTTATCGACCTTTCTCCTTTTCTTTCTTGTTCTGACTGTGTTCAACATTTACATAGTTTTCTGTTTAGAACAAATCCGGGAGATGTTTTCTATCCCATTGGACACTTCTGTTGTTTCATATTTTATTCTAGAACATGTTTCAATCCAGATAGATCATTCGATTTTCAAAGTCTTTGAGGCGAAGTTGCTTTTGTGGAACGACGCATATGTGAAAGTTTTTGAAGTTGTTCGACTATAATCAGCTAATTGAACAAATAATAACCATATGGTCCCTTTTTTTTAAAGTAAATGTTTATAATGAGTTTTTCTTTTCTCATTACTTTTTTATCCAGTGTTACCTGATGAAACGCATATAGTTAAACGCGAAATTACTCAATAGAAAAGTATTCGAGTACTTTTTTCAAGTTTTTCGATTTCATTTAGCTTTCGTATTGTTCAAATATTCACTTGGAAAAAAGAAGACAAACTTCAAGTTTTATTTTAAGAGATTATTGAACAGTTTTGATACACTCATTTCTTCTTGTTTTCGTTAGACGAACTGTGACTTGTCAAATCAAATCTATAAAAACAACCAAAACACACCCTTTAATATTCATAATGAATCCAAGAAATTTATTTCGTTGGTTTTACGATCAAATATGTCATTACAATCTTTTCGTACATGAGAATGAAACACACATTAATGACGATGATGAACCGGAAGATCCAGCTATTATTCTTCAACATCAAATATATGCAACTTGGTTATATGTTGTTCTTCTCAGCGGTAAAAAATCAAGAATGAAGAAGGTTTTTCTCTGTTATGTTCATTTCATTTTAGTGTTCCTTTATATTCTTTTCTTTGTTGCGATGGTGAAACCACAATCTCGAACAGTGATCGTTTCAGAGATAACTCCATCGATTTTCAACGAACTTTATTTGAAACATTCGGAAACTCTTTCATGTCCATGTTCGACAATAACAATTTCTTATAAAACTTTTGTTTCGAATACTATCGCACTTCATCCAGTTTGTTCAAGTTTCTTTGTTAGTCAACAATGGATTTCAGCTCTTTATTTAACAAATCCGAGTATATTTGGACCAGTAGATTTTCGAACAACAGCAAAATCTCAGGTAAATCGAAGTTTTTATCGAATGATAAAGTCAAAATATTCAACGTCTAATGTACGCAGTTTATCGAACCAACACGTTTCTCACATTCATTATTGTTGTATTGTATCTAGCAAAGATTATGTAAAGAAGTTTTCTTTCATTTTTCCTTAGTTCGAACTTCTGACCAGTCTTTGTTCAATCTTTCAAGACACAATTGACGAAAATAAAATGAATCTTGACGATAATGAACTTGTTACTATTGATCTTATTTCTGAAGACAAACTTCGATCACAAGTAGATGCCAATATTAAACTCTTTAGAAGTGATATATCCACTGAAATGGATTCATTTCTGAGTTACATTAAAATCACAACTCGAGCAAATTATCTCATTTCAGCTCTTAATACAAACGCAGTGATTGGTGCCGTTGCCAATGGAGAAAACTATGTTATTAATATATTTCAAACGTTCGCTCGAAATGACTCTGCTGATGCTTCTGATATGGATACTATTACAACTTGCGGTAGTCAAAATCTAATTGAATCAGCTGGTTTCTATACGTTGCCAAGCATTACACCAGATGTTCCTAAATACTATTTCAGATTACCGGACTATGATCCACTTGTGACAATCAATGGATTCTTTTCAGGTTGTACTCCATTTGAAAGTTTACTTCCAAGTACATTTGATTGTTTATACGATGTTAAATGCCTTCAACTATTATCCGACTATTTTCCGATTCTTCATCAAGTATTTACCTTGTACTTATTGCATATTTCATAGACTTCTTCTTTGTCTAGATGCACTGCAATTGGACCGATTCTGTTCTATCTTCGAAGCCAAAAATGTCTTTGAACGATTATTTACTTGATCTTTTCATTGAAAAATGGTCAACAGAAATGAATTATTCAATATATTTTGACGCATGTGCTTGTCCATTCTGCACATACATCACAACAGATCAAACCAATTTATTATATGCAATGACTCTGCTGATTAGTCTTTACGGCGGTCTCACGATTGTACTTCGATCGATTTCTTCATTCTTGATTAAAATTGCATGGAAATTCAAACACCATCGACGTCGCACTAGGATTAATTCAGGTATTTTCTTGTGTGTTATAAAAATCTCTTTTCATACAATGTATAGAATATCGTACAACATACATACGAAATTTGACTCAAGCAGCCAAACGATTGAACTTGTTCAAGAATAATGATCGTACAGAAGGGAGTATTCGACAACAGAAGATCATCACACATGTCTATTTAATCCTGGTAACTGGTAAGAGATCATATTCAGTGTATACATTCATTTCCTTTTCAATATCTCATTAGGATCATTACTCATACTTCTCGGTATGTCATTGAGGAGTCAGATGACTTTGATATCCATATCAAAACCATCATTGATCGTTTATAAAGACTTACAGAGTTTATATATCGATACACTCAATTGTCCTTGTTCGACCATGGCAATACCTTATCGTACATTTATTAATTTATCTCCAATATTTCATCAA